GAAACTGTTGCTGCTTCATATTTTTTTGGAACCTGTGATACTTTTTTTCAGGATTCTTTGATGAATAAAAAGTTAAAAAGAAGAGCATTTATTTAAAATAGAAATCTTTTCTAACAATATACACTACCGTTCAAGTCAGTAGGGTCAGTAAATTTTCATTCTTTCTTTTTTTGAAAGAAATTAAAACTTTTATTCAGCAAGGATTGACAAGAAGTGATAGCAAAGATTTATTTATATTGTTAGAAAAGATTTATATTTTGAATAAATGCTGTTCTTTTTAACTTTTTATTCATCAAAGAATCCTGAAAAAGTATCGCAGTTTCCAAAAAAAAAAATATTTGGCAGCACAACTGTTGCCAACATTGATAATTCTAATAATAAATCAGCATATTATAATGATTTCTTAAGGATCATGTGACACTTTACACTGGAGTAATGGCTGATGGAAATTCAGCTTTGCATCACATAAATAAATTATATTTTAAAGTATATTAAAATAGAAACCATTATTTTATATTGTAATAACATTTTGCAACAAGACATTTGGTTTTGTTCTGTATTTTTGATCAAATAAATGCAGCCTTGATCCATTATTTTATATTGTAATAACATTTTGCAACAAGACATTTGGTTTTGTTCTGTATTTTTGATCAAATAAATGCAGCCTTGATGAGCATAACAGACTTCTTTAAAAAAAATTACAAGTCTTACTGATCCCAAACTTTTGAGCGGTAGTGTATATATATATATATATATATATAGTCACAAATAAACTGTATTTGCTCTAGTCAAACTCATTTTTTGCAGTCTTTGTCTGTCATTTGTATGAGAAGTAACCAACCACAGCACTGCATACATTATTCATTCACATTTCCAATTGAACACCCATGCAATTCACTGCAATCCAACCCCTCCTTAGCGAACAAGTTCCTCTGTGTTCTTTTTGTTATATGTTTGATATCTGGATTAAGAAGTTTGCTTCAAGCTAAATAAGATGTGTCATGCTTTTGTATACAAACAATTTGCAGTATTGTTTGGTTGCTGCTTGGGTGACCCAAATTTGTGAACTTTGAGCTGTGGCAAACACTTTCACAACCCAAAAGCCGTAAAGCCTGGAGCTCGGTACAGAGAGGACAATTTAGAACAGCACATTTGATGGTTATAGTGTTTTGCCACATTATACAGGTACATGTTAGAAAGAGTAGCTGGATATTGGAAAAACAGCACTATTATGAGCCCAGCTGTGCTTCTGTCACACTACTGAAAATTGTAGCTAAATTTGTGTCATCACTATGTGTACTAGTTACTGCCAATGCTGGATTAATTTATTTAGTATGGATTGAATTTGGATTGAACTTGGCTGTCATGCTGATCATGATTAAAGCATTTTCAGTTGAACACTCTAAAACCCATGTGGTTTCTTCATCGAGATCAAAAAATGTTCAATGCAATTAAATGCCATCTTGCCGTGCATAAATCAGAGTTGTGGTTTTATTGGCGCTAAATATCCACTGTGCATTCTGAATGCATTCAAAGCCCTGTCATCAGTTAAAACAGCAACAGTGTCGTTTCAGAGATTCAGTCTCTCTGCTACATGCTCATGCCCACGAACTGGAGTCTAGCCAACACGGTGGTGGGTTTTCATTATACAAGTGTTTTTAGTTATTTATATATTTTGAATGGAACACCATGTCTGATTAATTAGTAGCCAGACTTCTGTAATGACTTTTAACTTTAGAACCTCATGAAATCTAAATTGGGGTTCTGTAGCTATTAGTCCATATGTGTTAGCTTTGAGGCCATCTATATGTTAATGTACTCATTAACATATACTTTTTTTTGTCAAGTAAAATAATCTTTCTTCCTTCTTGCAGAATATCTGTTCAAAAAAGTATATCACATTATTGAAATATCATTTTCTTGGTGACTAGCATTTCTGGTTATCTTTTTTGTAGCCGTGGAAGTTGCTAGCAGTATGCTGTTATTTTAGTAGGTTGTTATTTATATACTAGTATTTATTAATATTTTGAATCAGCTTGTATTTTATGTTTTCAGTTTTTATTTTAATTTTAGTTTTAGTAATTTTGCTATGTGCTTTTGTTATTTTCAATTTTGTCATTTTTCAGTCATTTTACTACTTTTTGAACTTTTTACTTTTAAAATGTTTAAGTTATTTTTTTAATTAAATATTTACGTTTTATTTTATTTAAGCTTTATTTCAGTTAACAAAAACTATTTCTAAATTTAACAACACTGGATATTTAGAAAAACCTGGCAATTTGCAAAGGCAGTAGGCTAATCATAACAAATTATTAATTTCACTTTTTATAGCTTTTGTTATAATATTGGCAATTTAAAGACATTAATGGGCATATTTACATAGTTAACAAAACATCATTATGTAAATTTGTTGGATTTCTTATCAGGCACTGAATTAAGTACCTATTTAAAGTTCTTTCAGCCTATAGAGTGCAGCAGTGCCGCACACTTTTTCAGCAGCCATGGTCGTATTTTTTCCATTTATTTTCCCCATAGGGATTTTAAGAGTCTTTGTTAAAGAGTTCCCTTTCAGTCGGTCACTCTCGACGTCACGTCGGATGACCGACGAATTGGGATCTCGCTTAGAGGGACCAATCTACTTCGAGTGTAAACAATGTGCATTGGCTCGTTTAGGTTACGCTCGAAGTAGATTGGTCCCTCTAAGCGAGATCCCAATTCGTCGGTCATCCGACGTGACGTCTCCGTTCCCTCCTTCAGGGAACGAGGGTTACATATGTAACCGAGACGTTTTATACCCTGAACCAAACCAGCCAGCTCTGAGGTGAATCAATCACAGCATTACATTACATACAATTTTGAATTGAAGCAAACAAGTACTTAAAAATTGCACAAAAAGACAAAGGTACAAGACTACACTGTAACTGATTTTTGTAATTTGAACAGTATTTTACTGTAATATGTACAGTAAGATACTGTAAAATGTGTATACAGTATTTTACTGTAAACAGCAAAGGATTATGGGAAAATATACGGTCACTACTGTATTTCCTCACTACTGTAAATTAATTTACAGTAGTGAACTTGCCCGCGAAAAACTGACCAATGGCAAGGGAGATTTCTTTTTTGACTGTTTGGTTGAAGTGGCCAATCTGGCCATAAAAGGACAAAAGAGAAATACCGTTAACTGGACAAAAAGGATAGTATATTATTTCTGTTTTATGCAATTATTTCCTCACTACTGTAAATCAATTTACAGTAGTGAACTTGCCCGCGAAAAACTGACCAATGGCAAGGGAGATTTCTTTTTTGACTGTTTGGTTGAAGTGGCCAATCTGGCCATAAAAGGACAAAAGAGAAATGTTAACTCGACAAAAAGGTTAGTATATTATTTTCTGTTTTATGCAAAACTGATATTTTAAGATATTTTTACTTGCTAACAGCAAACTAACATTATTCATCGTGTCATTTTTCATGTCGGGAGTTGGAGCCTTTTTTTCTGACTGACGGCCGGAATGCCGCCAAAAGGCTGATAACATGGACTGGTGAGTAAGTTAAGGTCACCTATATTGCTCGAAATAAACCTTAGTTAAACCGAGAAACACGTTTGTACGTTCTGCTGCCCTTTAATGCAAGTTAGCTCCTCTGGCGAGTCGTTATTTAACCTTAACAGCGAATTAACGTGAAATACTGAGGTAAAGTTAAAGTGCGTTAGGCAACATCACTGTTTCAGTGGAGATTTTAAACAGTATTTTCTAGTAACGTACTTCTTTTGTTTGTTATTTTCAGATTTCTAGTCTAAATGTAGTCTGCAGCGTCGGAGATGTATTTTGGATCCTCTTCTTGTGAATACCACAGATAGTATCGATGATAACATCAACTGGTAAGTTAATAATGTACCAATGTCGTATGTAACTTTAGAGACGGTCCCTAAATTCAGTGACAGACGTAACGTTAACATAAAACAGCGAGCTAACAACCTAACGTTACTGAGGAAAACTGAGTTAAGAAACACCACTGTTAAAAACATCTTTTGTATTTTATTTTCAAGTTTGTGGTCATGTCGTCTGCATCGGAGGTGTATTGGAGTCCTGTGATTGCCTCGTAGCGGTGCTAACAACAGGTGAGCTTCCATCAACTTAACTAACGTTAATGTTACTAAATTAGCCAAATTAGCCTCTAGCTGCTGTTCTCCACTAACTGACAGAACAGGTTGACTTTTTAAAGAGAGGAACATGCTAGCAATATATTAATATAGCAAGTTTTGCTGATAAATATAAAAAATGTCTATTTTATTAAAATGTAAATTCTGTTACTCTACGGCAGTTTTTTCTGATCATAAACTACAGTAACACAAAATGATGTTGTGACTGTTACAGGAGATTTCTCCAAGCAAAAACAGGATCCTGACTATGAGAGGCAGAATCATCATACAGCCAGCTGTCCATTTTACAGAAATGCAGAATTAGGTAACACAAAATACATTTAGTTTTACTTTGCATTTACATTTATGCATTTGCCAGATGCTTTTATCCTAAGCAAGTTACATTGTATTTAAAGTACACATTTTATTAAGTTATTCATTCCCTGGGAGTCTAACAGGGGCGGCACTAGGGGTGGGCTAAGGGGGCTGAAGCCCCAAATGTTTTTATTACAGTGTCTTATGCACATCAAGATTGAGTTTTCATGCGCATTCTAATTATTTCTATTAAACCAGCACTTAAACAGCAAAATGCAGCTGCTTCAGGTATCTTTAACTTACTGTAGCCTATAA